GGGGGAGGGAGAGGGTAGGGGGGAGGGCGGGGGTAAGCAGCTAATCCTGTTTGTCTTGCTATTTTAAGGACAAAGCATTATATAAACTATAAAATAATAACAACAACAATGATTAAAAAAACAGAATAAAGGGCTTCGTCCTCACACCTTTGGGACAGAGGACGTTACGTGGCACCTCACACACACACACACACACACACACACACACACACACACCACTCTCCCGACCCCCAAGAAAAAGGAGGAAAGCAGGGGTCACACACACACACACCACCCTCCCCACCCCTGAGGAAAAGGAGGAAACCAGGGGTGGCAATGGGCACGACAGCCCCCTCCGTCTGGTCCCCCTGCCCCAAGTGCTGGTTCTGGACCTGACAAATTGGGGTAAGGTGTGCAAGACCAGGCTGCTGAGGAGAAGATGTGAACTTCTTGTCAGCTGTGGAGGAAAGAGGAGTCATCGAAGTCTACCAGCCCAGACCAGGGGTGAAGACACCTGGGCTTTGGTCCTGGCTCTGCCACTAAGCCATGTGCTACCCTGGAAAAGACATCTCCCCTCTCTGGGCCTCAGTTTCCTTACAAGCAAAAGGAATTGGTTGGATACTGTTATGAATTGTATTGTGTCTCCCAGGGGTGTGGCCTGCATCATTTTTTATCTTACAAGAGATAAAAGGAGAAGTGATCCCAGAGAGAGGGATCTTATACCACCCAAGAAAGAAGCTCAGGGAGCCGAGTGCATCCTTTGGACTAGGGGCCCCTTAGCTGAGAAGCTCCTAGACCAAGGGATGATTGATGACAAGGGCCTTCCCCCAGAGCCGACAGAGAGAGAGAAAGAAAGCCTTCCCTTGGAGCTGTTGTTGTCGTTAGATCCCATAGAATTGGTTCAAACAAAACATTGCCTGCACCATCCTCATAATTTTTGTTATGCTTGAGCCCATTGTTGCAGCCACTGTGTCAATCCATCTCCTTGAGAGTCTTCCTCTTTTTCACTCACCCTCTCCTTTATGAAGCATGATATCCTTCTCCAGGGACTGGTCCCTCCTGATAACAAGTCCAAAGTATGTGAGATGAAGTCTTGTCATTCTTGCTTCTAAGGAGCATTCTGGCTGTACTTCTTCCAAGACAGATTTGTTCATTCTTTTGGCAGTCGATGGTATACTCAATATTTTTCACCAAAACCATAATTCAAAGGCATCAATTCTTCTTGGGTCTTCTTATTCACTGTCCAGTTTTTGCATGCATATGAGGCTATTGAAAACATCATGGTTTGGGTCAGGCACACCTTAGTCCTTGAAGTGACATCTTTGCCTTTTAACACTTTAAAGAGGTTTTTTGCAGATTTCCTCAGTGCAAGGCATTGATTTCTTGACTGCTGCTTCCATGGATGTTGATTGTGGATCCAAGTAAAATGAAGTCCCTGACTTCAATCTTTTCTTTATTATGATGTTGCTTATTGGTCCAGTTGTGAAGATTTTTGTTTTCTTTATGTTGAGGTGTAATCCATATTGAAGGCTGCAATCTTTGATCTTCATCAGTAAGTGCTTCAAGTCCTCTTTCAGCAAGCAGATTTGGTTCCTGTGTATTCCATCCAGTGAGGTCCACAAGTGTAGTCACCATTTATATTGGTGAAAAAATATATTTGCGATGAAGAAGTCATTGATCTTGCAAAATTCTGTCATGCAATCTCCAGCATCGTTTCTATCACCAAGGCCATATTTTCCCACCACTGATCCTTTCCAATTTTTGCATTCCAATCACCAGTAATTATCAATGCATCTTGATTGCATGTTTAATCAATTTCAGACTGCAGAAGTTGGTAAAAGTCTTCAATTTCTTCATCTTTGGCTTTAGTGGTTGCTGCATAAATTTGAATAATAGTTGTCTTATTATAGACTATATTATAATAATAGTCTTTCTTGTAGGTGTATGGATATTATCCTATCACTGACAGCATTGTACTTCAGGATAGATCTTGAGATATTCTTTTGATGATGAATGCCACGCCATTCCTCTTCAATTTGTCATTCCCGGCATAGTAGACCGTATGATTGTCTGATTCAAAATGGCCAGTACCAGTCCATTTCAGCTCACTAATGTCCCCTGGAGCTGGCGCACTGAATTCGGATTTCTATCCTCCTAAACTTGCTATGAGTCAGAATCTACTTGTGGTAACGGGTTTGGTTTTTGGTTTTTAAACTGTTAGAGAATAAATTTCCATTTGTTAAAGCCATACACTTGTGGTATTTCTGCTACAGCAGCACTAGATAACTAAGACAGATACTAAGGTCCCTTTCATCTTTGATATTTTGGGATTCCCGAGGGGTGGATTAACCTGTTGCCGTGGGGTCGAATCTGACTCATAGTGACCCTGTATAGGGCAGAATAGAATTACCCCATAGGGTTTTCAAGGCCATAATCTTCACGGAAGCAGACTGCCACATCTGTCTCCCACAGAGCAGCTGGTATGTTGGAACCACTGACCTGACCTTTCGGGTAATAGCCGAGCGCTTAATCACTGCACCACCAGGGCTCCTTAAGGAGTAGATTAATGGGCTGTAACATTGAGGTTGGGGGCCTAAACCAGCACATGGGCTGCGTCCACGTGGGCTGCATCCACGTGGAGTTAAGCCCCTCCCGGGTACTGTGCACTGTGACAGACACTGTGTCTGGAGGTGGTTGGGTTTGTGTTTGTCTCTGCTGCTTATGTCTTATTCATCTTTATATCTATTCCTTACCACTTGGCAGACTGCCTAGACTTGGTGGGTGCTCAGGAAATGTTTGCTGAACTGAATTAAGTAGAATTAAATTAAACCCAGTGTGAGGGAGAGGGCAGGAGGCACAAAAGTGTGATAGAAAGCTCATGGGCTTTGGAGCTAGAACCAGGGTAGGAATCCCAGCTCCTCACTCCTAGTCCTGTGGATTTGGGTGGTTGACTTATCCTTTGGGGCCTTTGTTTCCACATCCATAAAATGGGGATAATATTACCTGCCGTATAGGGTTGTTGTGAAGATATGAGTCTGTATGTACAAAGCACCTGCAACAGTCTGGCACAATAAACAGGATAGACCCGGCCTCTACTCTTATGGAGCTTGAAGTTTATTGCAGGAAAATGACAAATCAACAACATAAATGGAAACATTAGCTCATTCTGGAGGTCAGAATGACTGCTTTGATGAGCAGGCTGGGCCAAGACAGGATACCTACCACATAGGGGCAGAAGAGACAGCTCAGGCTGGAAAAACACCCTCCTGCCCCTGCCCCCCATACAGGAGTTCTTGAATGATGCAAATGGTTAAGTACTGGGATACTAATCAAATGGTTGGCAGTTTGAACCCACCCAGAGGTGCCTTGGAAGAAAGTCCTGGCAATCTGCTTCTGAAAAATCCCCACCTTGAAAACCCTATGGAGCACAGTTCCGTTCTGAAACACATGGGGTCACCATCAGTCAGAATCAACTCAATGGCAACTAATTTGTTTTTTGTTTTTTGCCCCTATAACGTCTGGTGTGGAGGCAGGGAACCTTCATGGGGACATAAGCATGGGGCTTGGTCTCAGTCACCTCCAATGAATGGCTCTTTGACACCCAACACTAGATATGCTTAATGCTGAGCTCCCTGTCTTCCCCATCAAATAGTGGCTAGGTCACCCAGTTTCCTCATGGCACCATTATCCTGCATTTCTCAGGTCCCAGATTGTGGTGCCAGATTTTCTTTGACTCCTCTCTTTCCTGCCCTCAAGTCTAGTCCTCCCGGGTGCCCAAGGGTAGCCATCATCACCCTGTCTTCCCCTCTCCTAGGCTAGTGCTCTGCTCCCTGAAATATATGCCCTTCCTCTGTCCTGGTTCCACCCTGTCTTCCTCCAGTCATGTTTTCAGCAAGGGTTAACTTATTGCTCAGCAATCCCTCCCAGCACCCTGGTATCCAATCCAGACCCTCCTGGCACTCAAGCCCTGGTCGCCATGACTGCCCTCCCCCAGCCCATCTCATCTCTGGTTACTCCCCATCAGCTGTCTCCTACGTTTGACTTTGCTCATACCAGTCCTCTGCACAATGTCATCAGCCCCTCGGCCCTGTCAATCCTTATCCTTCATCTCTTTCAAACCTCTGCCCCAAACACTTCTCTTCCAGAAACCTTCCCCAAGTAGCCCTACCTGACCCAGAGCACCTCATTCTCACGCATCCTCAGTGTGCCCTGTTTAAGAGCCCTGCCATTGAGATGAGTCAGCACTGATTCATTTACCTCAGTTCCACAAGCACGTGCCAAGTACATCCATGAGCCAGGCATGGCTCGAGGTGCCCCGGGCATACAGCAGAAGCCACACGTGAACCCCACTTTCAAGGCACAGATGGTCTAGTAGGAGAACTCATATGTCCAAAATGTACTTTAATATAGAAAGTGATGTGTCACAGGGGGAAAATGCAGAACAGAATTTCAAATTCTCCTAGAATCCAGACTTTCTGGAGCCATGGAGGCAGGATGAACCACTGAAACTATTGCCCTTAGATAATCTTTAAACTTTAAACCCAATATATTCCCTGAAGTCTTCTTAAAACCAAACAAT